CTCTAGTCTTTTTGCCTTTTTGATTGTCATCTTTGGAGAACCTTGATTGCCTTCGGAAATTTACCAGGTTCTTCTCCGAATGTTGGATGCCGTTCTTTCTCACGTACCGGTTATACCGTTTAACGAACAGCCCCATGTCCTCATTTATGTCTTCTTCTTCGTCGTCGCTTGAAGAATAATCACTTTGCTCTTTTGCTTTAGACTTCGAGGAAGAAGCCTTAAGAGCTATGGACTTCTTTTCACTCATCTTTACTTTGTCCTTCTTTTCTTTCCTTTCATGTTGGTCAAGACTCAAGAGTACCTGTTCATGCTCTTGTAGTTTGCCAAACAATGTAGTCAGGTCTAATACCGTAAGATCATTTGCCTCTTTGATGGCGGTCACTTTCGGCTGCCATTCCCTGCTAAGACATCTCAAAACTTTATTAGTAGCAAGATCATTGGAAATAGGTCTTCCTAGTGAATGTAATCTGTTTATGAGATGAGTAAATCTCTTTTGCATGTCAGCAATGGTTTCCCCTTGCTCCATGAAAAAAAGATCAAACTCTTGTATAAGAGTGTTGATTCGAGCCAACTTAACATCGTTTGTCCCCTCATGGGCAATTTGTAGTGCATCCCACATAGTCTTAGCCGTAGGGCAATGGGATACACGGTAGTATTCATCTACACCTAATGAGGAGATTAGAATGTTCTTAGCTTTCCAATCGTAATTATACTTTCGCTCATCGTCGTCGGTCCATTGTGCTTCGGGCTTTGGCACAACTTCGTTATTCTCATTTGTCATGGTTATTTCAATCGGACCATTGAGAATAACGTTCCATATCTTTCTATCTATGGAATTAATGTGCACCCGCATACAGTCTTTCCAATAGCTATAATTTTCACCGTTAAAAACGGGAGCTCTATTGTACGCCCCTTTTGGTTCGTTAGCCATTATTCTATCAATGTTGTATTTGAAGCACCGGAGAACCGGAGCTCTTGATACCACTTGTTAGACTAAGGCACGGATCTAGAAGGGGGGGTTGAATAGATCCCTTTTAAAAATTTGAGTGGCGCTACCAATAAAATTGGTTTTCAAAATTGTTTTCAAATGCGGAAGCAGCCTTGGAAAATATAGTCTAAAACGAACAACTATTGGAGAGCCGGATATGCGTCAAGCAGATGAATTTAAGACGATAACGGATAGTAAATCACTACACACTTTTATGCAAAACTCAGATGTGATTCACTCGTACTATTTCCTTATTCCAATGATCAAAAATTACACCAAAACTAGCAGCAAAATTAAGGCAATTTTAGTTCAGCACTTTTGTCGAACAGTTGGTGTGCACAAAACTAGCAGCAAAATTAAGGCAATTTTAGTTCAGCACTTTTGTCGAACAGTTGGTGTGCACAAATACCTTAAATGATATTTGTGTTGAATGAGTGATTGAAAAAGCCTTAGTACAGTATTTCTATTGTACTTAGTAGTAAAAAAACAGTGTTTCACCAACTCACTCAATCAATACTACAATTTGACAAAATCACTTATTCTAGAATCACTTAATTTTTAAGCTGTAATTGAAAATGCAGAAAATAAAGGAACACAAGATTTGATGAGGCAGTTCCCCCAGTCGTCCTCGCGTTGGGGTACGTCTGCCCTCAATTCTACAATGAGAATTGAGATATGTATTGAATAGATATCACCTGTTTGGTAGAACAGTTATACACAAGAATCGATAGACAATTGATACAAACAATCTTAATGTTGCTGATAATTTCTACCACTTCTTGCCCCTTGATTCTAGATGAATCAAGTCCTCCAATTTGATGTGAATGACCTCCGATTGCAGCCACCTTATTGACAACTCTTCCGTTGATCAAACCTTCGGCACGGCTGATCTTAGACACACCCAAATTGAACCCGGAACGTCTTCAACCTTTCAACGCCCTAGCTACTAGATTGATCAACCTTCCGCTAATCAATCACCTTCGCACTCGCTTGATTGTTGAACCGACGATTCCGTAACAAAAGCCTTCAAAACCTGTAGTCTTGATAGGTAAAACCTCAAAGGTTTTCTCCCAAGAAACACCTGCACCAGCTTCCACTCGAACCGGATCTTCAATCACGCGTTCGAACCTTATCACCGTCGAGCAAACCACAAACCGCAGCAAAAAATTGATTATCTGTAATTTGAGGATTTGTGAGTTGATTGAACGATGAAGATGAAGAACACTGATGCACCTCTTTCACGTTTCTTGACCTGAACACTTTCTCACAATGCTTTCAAAAATGTTCGTTAAAATTGAAAAGACAGCTATTTATAGTAATATACAAAACAGACAGTTGACAGATCAATGAAACATAGCAGAATTTCTGTTTCTGCGCGCGAACGGTCGACCATAGGGTCGGCGTGCGCTGAGCCGTGTGACACTCAAACTGTCATGCGCCGAGTCAGCGGTCGACGCATGATCTTCATGCGCTGAGCCGTCTGATTCTTAAACCTGCATGCGCCAAGTCAGCGGTCGACGCATGGTTCCATGCGCTGACCCGTGTGAACTGAATGAAACTGTGTGCTGACGGTATGGTCGGCTCATGGTTCAAAAATCTGCAAAAACATAAATATGTTTGTTGTTTCGTGCATCTTGTCACGACCAAACATTAGTCACATATATTGCCAATTAAATATGATGATTTAAAAGGATATAGGAAGGATGTAATATGTTAAGTATTGCATGACGATTCTGATTCATCTGAGGTTGTACTTTGTCATCATCGTAAGTATGCATGACGACTCCGATTCATCCGAGGTTGTACTTTGTCATCATCGAAACTTGAGAACGTATGTTGTGAGACAGTTTTCCCTCACAGTTATGACCATTTTTTTTTGCATTTACTGCATTTAATATGTAGTATAGTCCTCCTCAGTTTGCTATTAGACTCATCAACTTCACCTTGCTCTAAATTTCTTTTCTTTTTTGGCCTTCTTGGCACTTTTCTAAAAAGTGGTGGCTGCACATCATTATAGACAGTGCTTTCCCAAAGGTTGGAGCCATTAACAGGGTAGATGACATGACTGTATACCTCCTGATATTTGCATGTTTTATACATATCTGGTATGTAACTCTCTACCTTGAAATTTCTACTTTTCATGGAAGTAATTGCATGGACACACGACAATGTTGTCAACTACCATTTTCTACATGTACTACTTTGATTTTGCAACTTGACATTGAACTTATCTCCAACCTTTTCAAGGTGCCTAACCTCAAAGATATGCTCAGCAGATATTCTAGAAAACAATAGATACAACAAACAACCATAACATATGATAAGTACACAACCAGAAGATATGCTAAGCAAACAACCACAACATATGCTAAGTTAAGATTAAACCTTACAATCCACATGTTGGTGTAGTTACTAATCCTTACAAAATATTACATTGTGAGTATACGAAACATAACAGTTTATAAAGTATCAAAACATAGCAGTTTGTAAAGTACCACTTCGTAATGTTGGGCAAGATGTCATCATCAGTAAAGTTTGCAAATCTCATTCTATTTTTTTGCTCACCTTTCCGTTATGTATGTTTTGATCTCTTCTAGCATTGTCACTATAGGCTTAACTCTTGCTTCAATAATAACACTATTGAAGGCCTCCAACATGTTGTCCAATACGCTATCACACTTAGAGGTTGTCTTGAATTGAGATTTGCTCCAAAATCTAGGAGGTGTTTTCATTATGTGCTTGAACGCTTCCTCATTAGCATCTTTCATTTCTCTCATTTCCCTTTCCCAAGATAGTGAATATGTTGACTTAACAGCTTTCCATATACTCTCTTTCAACTTCTTTTCAGGAAATCTCTTCCTAAAATTGTTGTACAAATGGCGTACGCAAAACCTCTGTTCCCCACCCAGAAAAATCAGAAATACAAAGCTCTAAATATACCTAAAAATTATAACATTTTGAATCAGGAACACAAAACCCTAAATTCATGACAATAACTAGAAATACCCAACAAAACCTAACATGTAAACCTAGAAAAACCAAGACAAACCCTAAAATGCAAAGCCAGATGAACCCTAAAATAGAATTGGGTGAAGATTAAAAAGAACATTACCAGTTTTCTTTTTAGAAATCCCTTTTTTTCATGCTTTCTTTGTTCTTTCTTCATTCTTCAGCAGTTCACTTCCTTCGTCATGCTCCTGCTCGTCGTTTTATTGAGTGAAGTTTGAGAGAACTTTCAAGAAATGTGAGAAAAATGAGAAATTTGAGTATTCTCTTTTTATCTATTACATTGTCAGATCATCATAAACTAATACACGTGTGTGAGCTATTTGCATCTCAATTGACTTTGACTAACGTTTTGGATGGTAAGGATAAACGTGAACATGTTTGAATAACTGAGAAATCAAAATGGTCATTTTTAAAATTAAGGGATCAAAATAAACCCTAAACAAAAGATAAGGAACGAAAAAAAATTAATTCTTAAAAATGTAATTTGATAAAATAAACGATAGTAATTGAATTACAATATAAAACTATTTTATGATGTATATTTATTTTCTTTAAAAGAAAGTTAAATATTTAAAAATGAATTCTCCATAATTTTTTTTTAGAATTTTCGGAGTAAGTGGTTTCTCTAAGATAAAAGAAAGTTGATAAACTAATATTTTATTTTGAAAAAGTGAAAAAAGACCGGGAATCTGATGCAGGTGGATGGGAGTTGAATTACAACTTGGAAAGCAACACCAATTTATCTCAATTAAATAATAAAATAATATTTTTTTAAACGTTAATAATAAAATAACATTAACAAAATCCGAAATAAAAAAAACCTTAAAAAAAGGGAAGAATAGAAAGAGTTATTGTTGTTGTGTTTGGTGTTATGTTGTGAAACACACAACTTGCACTTCTCATACTTTGCAGAGAGACGAGAGAGAAAGAAAGAGAGAGAGAGAAGCACCTCTCGCTCCTACTTCACTCTCACTCTTCTACTGGCAGACCACGAGAACCTACAATGGACTCGCGCGCACAGTATAATCCTCGCACCGTTGAAGAAGTTTTTAGGGATTTCAAGGGTCGTCGAGCTGGTCTCATCAAAGCTCTAACCACTGGTATATCTCTATCTAACCAACCAAAATTTTGTTTTTTTTTTTCAAATCGAAATGTTGAACTTCGTTTTCTGGAGTAAAGTAATGTGCTTTGCGTGTTGATTTCGAGATTTTCAGGTTTGTTTTTCGATTTTACTTTATGGGTCAACTGAATTTTCAAATGGGTTTTGTTTTTCGCACATCGTTGTTTTTTTTTGTTTAAGCGGTAATATTTAAAAGTTTCAAGTTTGCATTTTTTTGAACTTTTTTAAGTGCTTGAGTACTAGCTTTCGGTTTGGAACTTTGCACTGTTTACAATTTGGCTAGCTTTGAAATGGGTTTTGTTTATGAAATTTGCAAGTTTTTTTAATGTTGCTGTTTGGATGATACCGATGGAATGATGATTTGCGGTGGTTAATTTTCATTTCATTTTGATATGTGTAAATGATTCATGGTTGTGAGGATGGAGAATTGAGTTTTGTTTGTTGGATGAAACTGATATGGTTTACTAGTACTGTTTTTTATTTGGAAATTGGGTTTGCTTTGTAAGGACCACAAGAGAAACTCCAACTTGGGGTATACTAGAGTTCCTTAACTCTAAAAAACTGGTTCGAATCGAGTTTCACTGCTGTATATGAGATGATAGTTCTTCTACAAAAACCGGTCATTTTGGTGCAGTGGGATACTGAGTGTGAGAAAGAGATATGAGGCATATTGAGAGAGAGAGAGAGAGAGAGAGAGAGAGAGAGAGAGAGAGAGAGAGAGAGGGGGGGGGGGGATATCGAGAGACAATGAGAAAGATGAGAGATTGTGAGGTAATGTATTTTGGGAGTTTCTCATTTTTACACAAGACAACTCTTGTAATTAATATGAGGCAACTTTAATTAATGTGACATAATAATGAGTGACATGTGTAACCTATTTTGAGTTCTTAACCGTCGAACCGTTGGAGTATCAAATGAGCGGATTGCTTAAAAGCGATGTGGCATTGTGGAGACCACCTAATGGCGAGATAAGAATCCAAAGCATGTGCAATATTGGAGATGCTCTGAGGAAGTTGCACTGCATTTATTTTTGCTTTCCCTTTTAGTCCCTGTTGACAAATGTCTCTCAGTAGTAGTACTCCTTTTTTTGGACAGAATCCTTTCAGTAAACTTAACTCGTGTTTGCCTAGCATTTGATGTGGAGGCTGTGCAGTATGTTAACCTGCAATTGATATATGATGGGTTTCTTGTCATTTCTTTTTTATATTTCTTTTTGTCTTTTCGAGACTTGTATATGACATGTTGTGCTTCAATGTGGCTTTGAGCTTTTTGACTATGTTTCTATTAAAGTTATATATATGAATGCTCTGAAACTTTTTCTTTACTGATGAAGTTCTTCTGTCTGGTTATGCTGTTGTTGCAGATGTTGAAGATTTCTATAACCAATGTGATCCTGGTAAGTTACAATCTCTTTGAGCTTTGATGCTGTTGTGTTTTCGATTAATCGATAGACTTTTTTACTTTCTGGAGGGCTGAATGCAACAGGGTCTTCCTTAACATTCATAAATCAGTATCATTCTGTTGATCTATTATGATGTTTGAAGATTTTTTGTTTTTTTGCACTGAATGTAGGTTTAATTGTCATTTGTTTTTGTGAACACATTGCCACACTCTGGTGTGCGCACGCGTTGATGTCTGTGTCGGAGTCTGTGATTCATATTTACAAACTATATTAGTTACATGATCTTGTAATTAAGTAACACCTATTGTAGTTCTTGCATCCAGGAACATATAGTCATGTTCTTATCTTCTCAAGGCTCCTAACGGTATTATTTTCGTTACAAATATAAATATATCAAAATGCAGATCTTTTGTAGCTGCAACAAAAATGTTGTAGAGAAAGTATTACTTGCCATGTTGTAGGGATTGTAGGTCATTACTTTTTCGGTAATAGGTATTCTATTTGGTACTTGTGTTTTATAAACCATTACTTGGTTCTTTCAGATAAGGAGAATTTGTGCTTATACGGCTTTCCTAGTGAGCAGTGGGAAGTTAATTTACCTGCTGAAGAAGTTCCGCCGGAGCTTCCCGAGCCTGTGCTCGGAATTAACTTTGCTAGGGATGGCATGCAAGAAAAAGATTGGCTGTCTTTAGTTGCTGTTCATAGTGATTCATGGTTACTTGCTATTGCCTACTATTTCGGAGCCAGATTCGGGTTTGACAAATCTGACAGGTATGTCATATTTTAACCATAGATTTTAGATGCATTTTAGTTGTCTTATGTATCGGTTTTCCTTATATATATATATATATATATATATATATATATATATATATATATATATATATATATATATATATATATATATATATATATATATATATATATATATATATATATATATATATATATATATATATATATATATCCGTTGTTCATTCATGTACTCGTGACGTATATTGTGGTGCAGGAAACGCCTTTTCAATATGATCAATGAACTGCCATCAATATTTGAAGTTGTTACTGGTACAGCAAAGAAACAAGTTAAGGAGAAGTCTTCGGTTTCAAACCACAGTGGAAGCAAATCCAAGTCCAGCTCGAAAGTGGTAAATAATATTTTTCTATGCCTGGCTGATAGATCTACTTTTTATACATACGTGTGTGATACTGTGACGGTGAAGAACTGTGATTGATTTTCAGATGTCTGTTTTTAGATGCATTCCCTATTTAAAATTGAGTAGCAGTTAGTTTATAACAGTGTGTTTTCTCGGACAAGAATTCGAGGAGGACAATTGAAAATGCTAGAAAATGGAATGTCCTTTATTACTCTATTTGGTACTTTCATAGGGGAGAATGAATATAAGAAGGGAAATGCTAACCAGTGCCCTCAGGGCACTTTTTAAAACTTTAAATAGTAAGTTTTTATAAAAGTATGTGCAATAATGTGTAATAATGTGCATTGGAAATTGAAGTGTTTGAATTTTTTAAAGAATAATTTCTTAATATGGAATGTTTAAATAGTGCCCTGAGGGCACTGGTTAGTAAGACCCATATAAGAAATATGCATTTCTTATGCTTCTTGAAATTACTCTCAAACCAGAAGTTGGGACTGAAAATGTACTCCATATTTGTTTTTGGCTATACGAATATTCGATTAGTATTATACGCATTGTTGTCATATTTGTGTTTCTTTTCTCTTTTATAACCCGGCTAGTTTGTTTTCTCATCTAATATTTGGCTGGTGAAGCAGCGAGCTCCAGAACCTCATGTTAAGCAGACAAAGGCATTAGAACCTAAAGACGAGGAAGAAGAACTGGATGAGGAAGATGAAGATGAACATGGAGAGACCTTATGTGGTGCATGCGGTGAGCATTATGGAACAGACGAATTCTGGATTTGCTGCGACATCTGTGAGAAATGGTTCCATGGGAAATGTGTGAAGATCACACCTGCTAGGGCTGAGCATATCAAGCAATACAAGTGTCCATCATGCAGTAACAACAAGAGAGCTCGCCCATAATGAGCACGGCAAGGCTTGGATCGTTTTCTGATCGTGTTGTTGTTCTGTCGTTTCTCGTTCTAGATGTTGAAGTTATTGGATAGTTTCTGTTTGGCACATTTCGTAGGTATTTGTTTGTTTTCTAGTTTATTATAGAATTGTGCTGTGCTGTGGTGGTTTTGTTGTCGGCTGCAATTCAGTTGATGACTTGTGTTTGTTCAATCTCTGTAGTTTATTGTTTATGAATTGTGCTGAATTTGGAAAGTGAAATCTTTTCCCCAATGTTAAGGAGGAAAACTAGGATAATGAAACAGAAATTTATTTTAAATGATGTCTTGTTACTTTCTTGTTGCTTGTTAGCTTGGTAGTAGCACTATGGCACCCTTCCAAAATTTGAAATCATGTAAAAAAAGGAGTGAGGTATCTGTTTTTATGAGACACTTTTGAAATTGAATTATACACAGAGATTGATTAATGATTGTTTAGGGTTAAAAATCAAGAGAAACACTATGCAATTCCAATCATAGGCAAGCCAACAACTAGTCATCAGTTCTTTGTTCATGAGTTGAAAAGAGATAACACACTTATACGATGTAGACTGACACATGACAAAGAAAATTGACATATGTCAGAAGCAAAATAGAGATTGAAAATTCGACCTCGATGTGAAATGTGAGCCAAAAAAGACCGATCTTGTTGAAGGCGGGAATGGGAGAGATAAAACCCACCTTTAACCCATCTGGTTATCGTATCTATTATCTGGTATACTAATCACAATTGAGATAAAAATATTTGTAGCAACATTCAAAGTCTTATTTAGCAAATTTAAATGGTAAAGTCCTTTAACGAAATCAACGGCACCAATCATCTTTAATGATTGATGATCCAGGATAAAACAAGTAGAACATGTAAAATTAACAAGAGCATTCAAATCATGACATAGTTTGGATACTAAAATCAAATTTAAAGAAAAATTAGGAACAAAAAGAACATTTGTAATGGAAGAATAAAGTGTAAAATGGATAAATTAACAAGAGCATTCAAATCATGACATAGTTTGGATACTAAAATCAAATTTAAAGAAAAATTAGGAACAAAAAGAACATTTGTAATGGAAGAATAAAGTGTAAAATGGATCCTACCAATGTATTTAGCTATGACAAAATTGCCATTAGGTAACCTAATGTTAACATGACTAGTGTTATGGTAAGAATGAAATCAATGGAGAGAACCACATATATGATCACTAACTCCTAAATCAATAATCTAAGAACCAAGAGTTAAATGGTTGACAAAAGAAGAACGAACAATTGTATCACCTTTGTTTGTTAGCAACTGATGAATGACTAATTGAATGGAGTGTGCTCATTTGATTAGAAGTAGAAGCAATAGTTGATTTCTTGCTAACATTTGAAGTCCGAAGAAGTGATATAAGAGTATTGTACTGCTCAGTGAAAAAAAGAGATGTAGATGGATGATTAATAGAAAAGTCATAACTTAAATCAAATAGAAACATTATCGGTACCATTGCACTGACATTGTCAGTTGTGGAACAAGAATTTCATTTCAAATGAGAAAGAACACCATGTTTACAATAACATGTATCAATTGTGTGACTGAATTTAACACAAAATGTTTTAACTCTTTCTCCAGATTATGCGTTTCTAAAACCACATTTTTGATTACCAATTGTATTAGCAAGTACCTTAGAATCATCGGTAGAAGCAGTAATAGGAAAAATTTGACATTCATATTGTAAAACCATAGAAAAACAATTTTGTTTAAACTAGGTAAGGGATCTAATAATAAACTTAGAGATTTAACAAGACTAAACTCCTCATTCAATCTAGTCAGAAATCGAATGACATACAAAATATTATGGTTAGACCTAATATTTTGCATAACATCAGAAGAACAAAGAATGTGATAGTTGCAGGTAGGTATATGCATAAACACGAACAAAATCTCCTTGTGTAAAATGTTATTTGAGGTCATTTCAAACATCTATGACGTTCTCTATAAACAAAATTAGTTGATCAATAGATTCAAAAGCAACATGCATAATCCAAGAATGCATCATCATGTTGCAACGAGTTCAAGAACAGATACTCGAATCAAATAGATCAATTAAAATCCTAATTATTTCGTCAACAAAATCAAACTTTGTTTGACCACTGTGAGCTCTACACGTTGATCGTGCTCAACTATTATAATTAGATCAATTACGAACCAAAGTGATAGAAATAAAAAATTAACTATCACTAAAATGAACATATTATGAACTTGTTTAATTCAAGACAGAATTAGATGAACCAAAACTACCAATGTTAGTTTCGAAATAGATAATGTTGCGAGAAGCCATGTATTCACTAGCTCGATGATGCTATATTGAAGAAAATGCTCATAAAAGAAAAGTAAATGGATGAACCTAAAGAAAACAGACTTTCTTAGATTAAAAATGATTCTTCAATGAATAATGAATAATAAGATGTATACATAGTTCATCTTATATACTTATACAGAAAAAACTTATATAATGTAACTAATTTTTACTAACTAATTGCAACCTCGTCCTCATGCTTGGACTAAAGTTATAGGAGCCGTTAGATCAATTTAGTTTTTTTTACACCATCATAATCTGGTTCATTGGGCCGACTAATTCGGTTCGGGGTCAGTTCTGACATCAAGTGATTTCAATCTCTTTCTGACTAATAAATGCTCAAATCTCCACATTTATAAACAATGTGAAATTTCAACTCACACTTGACATTTATTATTCTCAACATTCCCACTCAAGTAGAAACTCTTTTGTCCACATAGACAACTCTTATTGAACATTTTGGTACAAGTAAGTCAATCTCTTTACTCGAACCAAAAACTCATGATACCATTTGTTAGCTCATGAGGAGGAACATCAACATGAGCAACACACAAGTAAGAGAGACACCACATATCTACCTAAAACTTTAAGTGATAGATATATGAGTTCTCTTACTTATAAATACTCAAGTCTCCACATTTATAACCAATATAAAACTCCAACTCACCTTTCACATTTATTATTCTCAAACAAACTACTAATAAAATAACTAATCATTGGTGGATCAACGGGATTTTATTTACTCAAATCTAATGATATAAATTCATTTACACTTTTAATCAAATAGCTTAGTGACGAGCAGGGCCGGCCCAAAGGCTAAGCAACCTAGACTAGGGTTTTAGGTTTCAAAATTTTTGGTTTAAAGACCTCATAATTTTCTAATTTAGTTATAAAAATATATAATGACACATTACTTACATCTATTATCATAGTTGAGTTGGTAAATCACAATATATAAAGACAATACATTGTTTTGATGTAGCCTATTTCCTTTCCTCTTTTACCCTTTAAAACTACTTAGAAGTTACACAAATAAAAATTAACTACTCCCTCCATTTTATATTTGAATATTGTACAAATTAATTATTTATTTGAAAAGAAAACTCACTTTAACTTCTAATTAAAAACTATATTTAAATAACTTCTTCCTATAAGTTATGTCTTTCATTTCTAATTCATTGGGTCCATAGAAGTAAAAAATAGAGAAGAAGAAAGACTGCATGAGGAAAATTGGAATCCAGACAATGTTCATGATGTGGTAAAAAAAGAGAAATCTACAATTTGCTGATGCCATAATATGGATTGTGAATCACACAATGATTTCTGTTACAGTTAATTATTAGGGCATTTAGATTCTTCAATCTAATTTTTTAATTTGGTTTTTTATTTATTTTCATTTACTATTTTGTTCTTTTTACATAAACAAATCCATATGTGAAATTGGGGTTTGAAAATTGAGATTATTGAATTTTTTTAATGTCTAATACTTTAATTTTTCTCTCTATTGTAGAAGAAAAATGAATTATTATCTCTTACGAAAGAAAAAAAAAAGTGTTCTAATTTCTAGATCAAATAACAATGACTATTTTTATTAAATTTTTTAAATTTTGATTTCCTCTCTTAAATCTTTATCTATTATTGTTTCAATTTTACCCGTGTAATTTACAAAAAATTTAAAATATAAACAATATCTCAATTTTTAAATTGTATAATTTCTACAATCTGACGTAAACATTAATCTATACTTATCTATACCTATAGATAAAGACAATATAACATTTTGGACTAACCTATATTGGTTAGATATTTGACCTTTAACTGTTATTTTAAAAGCAACCAAATATACAAAATAAATTTAGTAAATAATAATTGTTTCATTCTCAATTTAAAACTTTAACAATTTTTTATCATCCTTATCTTTAACTTCCTAAACAATTATCTCTCTTTCACTTGCAAGTTATTTTTCTCTCTCTCATGAATTGTTAATTTCATCTAAATTCTCTTTCACATGCAATTTTGTCTTTCTTTCCATTATTATTGAATATTTGAATTGTGTGAATTGTGTACACTGTCAATGTATCTTTGTGATTACCTACAGTATAAATATATAAAAAAAAGGTTTTGTAGAAAGTTAGAGTTGTTACAAACCATTGTATATCAGTGTACATTTTACCAATTATCAAGTCATTTACTATACCGTCATTCAACTCCTCAGAAATCCAAACTTGAACTATATATATTTAATTTTTTTTTATCAATTCATCAGAAAATAATTGATCATTTTTAAAATATCCAAAAAAATATATGATACTTAATTATATTGTGTAGGTTGTTATTGAGATTAATCTCTAATCTTGTCATCTATAAGACTCACATTCACAAATAAAATTACAATAATGGTAAATATAGGCTTTAGAGTTTTCTTTTTGTATTATTTCAAGTCTAAGGCTATAAATGATATTAAGGGTTGAATATCGTTTAAAGATTGAATATATTAGTGTTTATGTTTTCATCATGATTTTTTGTTTAATGATAACCAGTTATTAGCTACTTAACAAAACAAAGAAAGAGGAACAAATAAATGCCATGTGCAAATGAGATTGGAATATATAGAGAGGTAGAGAGACTGATGAGTGATATA